GGGGTAGTTACCCCCCCCTAGAGAATTACCATAAGTAATTTTACAAAACGGAAATAAGGAGTACCAGTACTACCCTTCTTTAAATGACGTTAAACGTTATTTTTACATTATACAAAATCAGTTCTATGTGATTCCACGACAGTTGGGTCTACGAAACCCGAAGGAACCGCATCTACATATATCTCCGGCTGGTTCCCAAAAAGCCTTTTGGGGAATTTTCAAGCTCTTACAACAACAATATCATTGTTGGTTAATACCCAAAAATGAAGACTAACAAGTTTTTACAGCAAAGAGAAGTGATTTTATCAATGATAAAACTTGTATTTTCAAAACTTGCACACCGACCCTAGTAATTTCTGCAGTATTACTTTTCTCCTATTCTTTGTACAAAGCATAATAGCAAAACAACAACAAAAATAAAAACGAATGTCAACGAAATACAAGTGAAAAATTGAAAACAAATCACGCGAGAATAACAAAAATGTGAAAGGCGAGAAAAACAAGAAGGCAACAAATGCAATAACAACACGCTTGTCATACGACCAAAAATTAGTATTTCTTGAGGGCGAGATTAGCTCTGCAACTCATTCAACAATAGAAATTCAAAGTGATAAGTTCGGTGAAATAAAAACAAAAGGCTACATTCTTAAAACATACTATTAAATTAACTTTTACAAATACAAGCAGTTACAATAAAATAGAAAATATTCAAAACAAAATGAAAATGGCAGGCAAATGAAGTGTATAGATAAAAACTTATTGGGAGTTCCCAGTACACGAAATAAGTGGAAACAACTAGAAAATACCCAATAGCAGTGCGGACTGAAGAGCTTCTTTTAGTGAAATAAATACAAAAAACTATTGCATAAAAAATAAGTGATTTGCTGTGCGTTTAAAAACAGTTTAAAAGTTACGTTTATTTGAGCGCAGATATGTTTAAAAAAGCACATCATCTTTAAGAAAAAATTAGAACTAAGGAACTACACAGCGGGCGCTGACGTGTTCGCCATTGCTTCGCTGCCCGCTACACGCCGCACCCACGACAAAGGTGTCATCCAACTGGTAAAAGTGTGATAGCTGCCGCATAAGTGAACAAGCATACCAATTTGAACTATATAGTATTGAAAATCAGCAGATTTTAACGCGAGCACTGCTGAAGATAGAAGCACATATTTATTTGCCTTCGCATTAATTTAATAAAAAATAATTAATACATAGCAGAATAATTAAAAATATTTAATTGAAGAAAAAAGACTAACGTAAGCACATACACACATAAACATATAAACATATATACGGGAGTTATCGCTAAATATGTCAAAAGTATCACTAGACGGTTTTACAAATACATTGAGGCGTTACCCAAAGACTTTGGGCGGAGTTGGTGTTCTAACGACGTGAGTATAAACTGAAAAATAATTATAATTTTTTTTACTGAGTAGCTTATATTACATACATAATGTATAATTCAATTGGTCAGCCTGTATGTATGTACATATGTATGTATAATAGACTACCTGCATATCTTAAATTATTGAGTGCTTCAATATAGGTTAGTTCACTAATGATAAGCAGGCATCCTTTAAAAAACCTGTAAGGAAAGATAGAAGTATGTTTGCTAATTAGAAATGTGAAATATTAGTCAGCGAATTAAATGTTATCAATACATATTCCTGGTATAAAAATGATATATAATATATTTTGAAAAATAGTATTTCTCACTAAAGAACTGTTTTTTAATGTCCGTTGATATCTGCTATGTGTACATACATATACAAATTTTAACTTGCAGAAATGTACTCATTTATTCATGTATTCATTTATTTTGAAAAAAATAAAATAAAAATAGGGAGTGCTCAAAGCGCTCAAAGTTTTCCATGTATTTTATTTGGGGGAAAAACAACTTTTCGTAGAAATAGTGTAGAATTCTTGAAAATCAACAGTTTTCGATCGGAAAACTTTTCTTATCTTCAGGAGATTCCCAGTAATAATACACAATTGTCTCTTTAACCATTTTTTCATAGTAACTATATTTTATAGGTCCTCCCTAGAACCCCTAGAAAATGCAATGGAACTTTAATCATAAAAAATGGTTAAATAAACAATTGGATATTAATACTGGAAGTCTCCTGAAGAGAACCACAGTTTTCCGATGTTGATTTTTAAGAGTTTTATACCATTTATACGAAAAATAAAATTCCAACTCAATTTTTTTGGACCACTCTAATGTACATACATGTGTATTTACGAGTAAAAAAAATTCGATGAGCCATCACTAAAAAAACTATATGTTTAAATTACCGCCCTATTAATCATCAAAAAATATCATCCGATAATTTGACGCACACTGCCGAGAATAGGTGTGTAAAACTTTCGCAGTATGCTGTAAAGTCTATATATTATAAATAATACATATATGTACATATATGTAACATTTTTGTACACAATGTTTATACATATGTATGTGCGGACATCCATGTTAAAGCACAGGTAACATTAAATAAGAAAAACAAGATTTTAGGAGGCTCGTCAGACAACCACATAAATACATTTGTTTTTGTTTCTCACTGTAATTACGCAAAGGGGGTGTTTTGATTCTACGTAATGAATATACATAAGTATTTTTATTAGATAATTTAGTTGTGCGCACTCGTGCAAATAAATTAAAAACAAGTTTGTTGTTCGCACACCATCTTCAAAATATAAATTTTTGGTTGGTAGATTCAATGCAATTAACAAAAAAAAAAAAACAGTTATAACACTAGTTTTATAGTTAGAAAACATAATCATGAAGACAAAAATATTTACATTAATTTCAGATAAATGCTATAAATCGATTTAGGCGAAAAAATCGACCAAGTTGTGCCCCTTTTGAAGATGGTTTGCGATATGTACATTTGCATATGAAAATACATATGTAGAGTAAATAAGTATGTGGGTGACATGAATTTAGCGCTTCCGTATTTTCAGTGGTACAAAGTATCTTCGTTCACTCTCTCTGTTCTAACTACATTAACAGCAGCTAATTTGATCGTATGATCTGCCACGATAGCGAATAAATTTATATATGTAGGTACAAATTTGTATCTACATACGTATGTATGTACATATGTACATATATATATTTAAAAATAGATAAGTGATGCAAGGGCTGACATAGCGCGCATCTCAACTCCCTGCATTTTATTAAGTCAACTTTTTGTATTTTTTTTGCAATTGCACCGGTGCATATGGTAAATGAAAACAAACTTGTTTACATTCAATTTGGAAAGTCAACTTACCATGTACATACATATGTGTGTAGATAAACACCTCAAAGAATGCCATAATGACAACATCGCTGTTATAAACAAAAACAAATCGCTCATACGTTCTTAGAAGTGGTGATAAATAATAGTTTATTGCGTCCATATTTGCTAAGTAGAAGTGTGCTGCGCGTTTGGAAATACGCAAAATGTATTTTCGCTTATAAACAGGCAAAAGAAAACACTAACATCAGCGATGTTGGCTATCACAAACAAAAATAAAGCGCTTTGTAATAGTATTTCTACTAATTCAACAACAGTTGGTACCAGTTGGTACTATAAACTAGTGGGCGCTGTCCAAAGTCATTAAATTGAGGTTCGCCAACCATTTCCCACCAAACTGAATGGAGCACACATGTATGTATGTATGTGTGTATGGTTTGTGGTTATCCTCCTCCACCCCCACACAGCATAAGCATACAAAGCAAAAATAACAATGAGGTCAACGAATCATAATAACAAAATAAACGTGTCTAAAAACGCGCGATTTTGTTAAAACGAGACAAAACTAACCAAGTTGTTGTTTTGGTGGTACATATCGTGTCATACCATTGGCGCGTCCACTTTGGGTTAGCTTGTTTATCATTGAAAAAATTCACGTTTGAGGGCATACATACATACATACATGCCTGCCAACTTATGTGCATACATATGTACATGTATGTATGTGTACGTATAAAATTTATTTCTAAAAAATAAACTAACTTAGGGAAACTAGCCAAAATGTATACCAAACGAATAATAAAAAAAAAAAAACAATTAGTATTAGGATCAGACGAGGTCGAGAATTTTGAAAGTGTTGAGCCATGTACATAAATATATTTTAGTGCACATACATATGAACGCGATGAGATAGTCATTTATTATAGTAGCTGAAAGTATAAGTAAGAAATATCACACGATTTCGCAATCAACACGTGTGACAGTTAATCTAGAAAAACAAAAAACGAATACAGAAAGGTACTTATATTAGAATAGCACTTCTAATAAGAAGCTATTATTAAATAGAGATAAACGCTCTCATTATTAAAACCTTAAAAAAAATTAAACGTATGTACATAATATGTATGTATTTCTTTAAAAAATGTTCTATTTGTAAGAGTTTTTTTCAAAGCTATTTTGTATTTTATGCATGAAGTTCGACTAATCTATAAAAGCTAGTAACATAGATAGGTTTTAAAGTAAAAATTAATACTTTCAAAAATTAAATTTTAATTGTGTCATTAATTTTTTTCAGTTGCGGTTTAATTTTACTTGAAAAACAAAGGATCCGAAAATATCTATCGAAATGGGTAGATACTGCACCATCAGACACCGATAAAAAGCGCCCAGATTACATATACATTAAATATCATATTTATAAGGAGTCTATGCGCAAATTGAAACAAAAAGAAGAGGAAAATAAGGTATATGATTTTAGAAAAATAAAAATAAAATTAAGTAAAACAATGCGCCTGTTAAAATTTTTTTAAGCAAAAGTAAATATATTGTTCAAAATCTTGTATTCTTGTGTTCCCTAACACCCTTATAAATATAAAATCTCTTTAAATTTCAGAAATGGGTGAGCGTCATTATTAATCCCATTGGCAAGTGGTGGAAAGCCGTTAAACATTCGGTAGCATGGCGCTTACTGAAAATCGCACAAACTGGTTCACAACATGAACGCCTCAAGGCAGTTCGTCAGTTGGCTTGTATCGATCACTTGAAAGATTGGGACTTTCGACATTTAGCACAAATTTGTGATGCACGCACAGCAGTTTCGTTGGCGCGCTCTGGCGCTGACTCTCGTTGGTTCGTGCCTGTTCATATGCGTGGCTGTATTAAGAATCCCAAACTGGTGCTAGCTGATTTTCACGATATGTTGGCACGCCTACGTCCAAATTCTTGCGTCGATAACTTTTTCAACAAATACTTTCCACAACAGTATCCACACGAGGGCATCGACGAATTCTATACGCAGGAGCAAGCTAGCTCGCTATCTGTGCAGGACACAGATATGTTGAAGGAGATAATTTCTTTCTTGCATCACATCACCAAGGAGGAGGCGGTTGCTAAGCAGATCATTAACGAAGGTGGCCTTACACATCTCATGGAATTGCGTAAAATTTTTGCCGATGACAATGAAACGCTCTCGACACTATGCAAAGTATTGGCGAATGTGTCGCTGGTGGAGAATAGTGTGGAGCATTTCTTCGCTTCGGGTTGGATTGGTGTGTTGGCAGATTGGATGAAATGTCCCGATTTGCGTTTACAAGTGATCTCAGCGAAAACTATGGCTAATTTGGATCACGATGACCCCAATCATGTGCAATATCCACCCAATGTGTATCCATTACATCCACGCTTGCGTACGCGCGCCAAACCCAAGGCTGATATAATATTCATACACGGTTTGTTGGGTGGCGTTTTCATTACGTGGCGTCAGAAAGACCGCAATCCCATAGAATTGGGTTTGTATGGCAAGAATGCTTTTTATACTAGCGAAACGGATGATGTGTTTTTGATTGGCGAACAAAGACGTACGAATGGAAAAATTTTGAAAAATTCAAATAACAACGCGAGTAATAATGGCAAAAGCAATGCTGTGAAAACGGAACAACCAACTGGTAAGTGCAATTATTTGCTTGCTTGCCGAAAATAGCAAAAAATATTATATAATTTGCTCTACAGATCCAATATTGAAAGCTGCGCAAAAGACTAAAAACAAAACGCTGGAGATAAGCGATGCTGCGACAATGGATTTTGTGGAGACGTTGCAAAATACTGCCGAATTAGAATCAGATTGGGAGGTTGTACATCCAGATGTGCCGCTTAAGGCAGGCGAGGAATGTTGCGGAGAATTCAGCGTGCCGGGAAATGAATGGCAGAATCAAGATAACATTGAAGACTACACAAACTGTTGGCCAATGGAGTGGCTGCCGGATGATTATCCAAATACAAGGTAGGTAACTAATACTCCACAGCTAAAGAAATTGGTCAGTCAATAGTTTCTCATTTCTTTAGAATCATCGGCATCGATTACACTTCTGCGGTCACTGAATGGTCTGCCAATTTCACAAAGTACTGTCCCTGCGAAAAGGGTCAGGGGCAAATCGACGTTCGTGCCACATCACTACTCGAACGTCTCTCGAAATCTGATGTGGGCAATGAGAGACCTGTTGTTTGGATCGGTCATTCCATGGGCGGCATACTCACCAAGCTTATGCTTATGAAGGCCATAGATGATCCTGATCCAAAAGTACAGCAAATAGCCAACAGCACGTCGTCCATACTCTTCCTTGGCACACCGCATCGCGGCTCTTCGATTGCCAAGTGGAAACAGCACATGCAAATGATTATCTCCCCCTCCATTGAAGTGAAAGAAATGGAGGAAGGAGCACCGAAATTGCTAGCAGCGCACAATCGTTTCATGGCATGTTTACACACATGCTTTCGTAACGTTAAGGTTGTGACCATCGCCGAAGGTGCACCCACCATGCTGACAACATTCAAATTCCCGCTGCGCATTGTAACTGAGGACTCGGCGCGCATTGATTACGGTGACTTCTATGTACTCAAAGATGATCATCTTAGCCTATCGAAGCCAATTTTCCGCCAATCATTCCTATATCAACGTGTTCTTAAAGTGATTGAAGACTCAATGAATATAGATGAGAGTCCAGTTGAGAAAGTTACGCTACCTGGCACAAAACTCAAAATAGAACCAGTTAAAGTACCGCCGACTAGGACTTCGGACTCAGGCGCAGAGAGTTTATTGCAGAAAGTCCGTGGAATTTTCTCGGCAGTGCCACAAATAACAATCAATTTTCCCAACGCTCAATGCGAACAGTCTAGGCGCGAGTAAGTCGAGCGACATTTTTTTTTTGTTGCTTGTTTTGACTGGCTACTGACTGCTATTGCAACAGAATTCATCCCACTAAGTTATTTCATAGCACATCTTGTAAAAAAATTCCTGTACTTAAATTCATATGCCAACTCATCTTAAAATATTTGCATACCCATGTTTTACAAGACTTGAAAAAAATTTTATCGTAGTATATAGTCCTAGTTTCAGTAAGTAAGTTTGTACATGAGCTTTTTGGCTTCGCAGAAATGCTATTTACAAAATTCATAGTCATAGTCAGTAATGTATTGTAATCAATAAGAGCTTATGAGGTTAAGCATTTAAGAAAATTCGCTCAAATAAAGCTATGAAAATGATAGTAAATGTGTTAAACATATTAATTAATATTGTAAGGTCAACACAAAGTAATGAATTGCTATGATTTGTATTGAAATCTAATAAAAATGCTTTTTAAAAAATACTTGATATAGAAGAAAGTTATGTATTTGCAAATGTGGGAAAATATATACCGATCGCTATATGTATACATAAATATACATATTAAACTACATTCTAAAACTTACATCATTCTAATGTTATGTTATGTTTCCTCTGCAATCGCCATGGTTCCGCCAGCAGCTCCACTTTCCTGCTGCTGTTGCAATCGCTCCTTTTTCGCTTTCAAACGTTCCAATGCAATTCGCCGATTTTCAGCTATTCGCGCCATTTGCTCTGCTGTCAATTTAGGCACCGGTGCGGGCGATGCAGGCTGTGAAGGTGGCAGTGGTCGCGCCAAATCACTGTCGTTTAGTTTATTTCCCAACTTTCCCCCGTGCGTGTATGGTGTGGACATAACCGCATTACCTCGATTAAATGAAGGTGTTGCCAATGTACTACTGCTGCTGGCGCCGGTGAATGTAGCATTAACACCGTCACCCCCTTCGCTGCTGTAATGAGAAGGCGTACGAGGGGCCAGCTTAGAAATGGCAATTTGTTCACCCAACAGTGCATCAAATTCGTCGAATGGTTCATCTACTGGTTCGGCATCTGCAGCAGCATCATCTTCATCTTCATGCATTTGATCTCCAGTCGCTTTCAAGTGGTCCAACATACCAAGCCGATAGCGTGACATATGCACTTGTAGCGACTTTTTCTTGCCAATACGCTCTATATTCGTTAAGACATCGTCGAATGTGTAGTTTGGGTACATACGATGTGCCCAATGTGTCATACGCCGCATCACCTCGTCAAGATCGCGCTTTTCGTGACCCTTTCCCTTGAACTGTATATCCTTGAAATAGTCCTCGATGGTGTGTATACCACGTGTGCCGCTCAGTACGTCAAGTGATAATTTAGGACGTGGATTCCGTACTGTGCGTTTTTTTGGTTCCACCTTTACGCCTTGCTGTTCACCTTCCTCAGCTTCAGCGTTTCCAGCAACTTCACCATCAGCGCCAAAAAGTCCTTCCATACCCATTTCGTTATGCCCATTCTCTTCATCGCTGGGTAAATCATGCAAATTACCACTGAGTATGTCGTCGACAACATCGCCACCGTACATGGAGGACATATTAGCAATAATTTATTAATAATTCAAATTATATAAAACATGAAATATGTAAATAAAAGCCCTCAAAATTTACAAAACGCGCCAATAACAACAACCGGCTGATTCCACCTTATACGAATTCGACTCGGGCGAAATAACGGAATTGAATAAAATTCACCACTTGGCTTTTGTCACAAGAATGATAGAATACAAGATTGCGCCGTCCTGGGCGTTGACATTTGTGTACCACAAGTAAACAAAGAATAGAGCGAAAAGAAGAACGAGTTGAGACTGCCAAAGCAGTTCACTTTACAGCGAAAAACGTGTTTTAATTTTGCTAAATGCGAAAATATTGCATTTTTCACCTAATCTATTAGAGAACAGTGAATATTTTAGTGCACTCCATTGCTTTGCAATTGAGGCTGCTTCAGTAAACGTTTTAGTGCACTCCATTGCTTTGCAATTAAGGCTGCTGCAGAAAACTGCGGCATCTCAGCGGGATTGATTGGTTAACTTGCTTATGGAGGCTGCTTGGAGCAGAAGCAAAATCATTGTGATGAAAGGCTGTTAATGTAATAATAAAGAAACATTTTGAGAACGGCTTTGCCGTGCCCTANTTTAAAAACAGTTTATGTTTTCATCAGTTAAATATGCTTCATATGCATATACAAATAAACATATTGCACAAACGCTCATACTTCTATATCACACCAAAGCTACACTGTTTCCATGTAAATGTGCAAAGAAGCAACACGGTGCCACTGCTAAGGGAGCGGTGCGAGAGAGACAACTGTCAGTTTATCGAACCTTGTATTATTGAATCATGGGCTTTTGTTGAATTTACAGAGATACCCCGGTGTTGTAAAAATTCAACCGAGACAAATTTATACAAGGTGGTGTTGATGGAGAATTTAGATTTTCGCCGAGGTACGTCTTAATGTCAAAATGATGTGTTTGTTGTAAAGTGAATTCGCCTTGTTTACAACAAACACATCATTTTGACATTCAGTAGTACCGCGGCGAAAATTTAAAGCTGACAACAACAATTGCATACACACATGAACCAAAAAGACAAGAGGTTTGTATAGTAACTTCTCCAGTAAAACATTGCAGCGAGAGCGTAAAAGCAAAATAGAGCGTAAAATTGAGAAGAAGAGAAAACTAGTAGAAAAAGTTAATGAACATAAAACTAGCAAAAACTTGCAAGTGAACAGTCGTTGCACTGTTTTGACATTCTGCTGTAAACATTTTACTATTTATAAATCAGTCTTAAACTCTGCTTTACACACAAGCACTTACACAGTCACAATATTTTGATTTAAACTCCTTTTACTTTTGTTTGTGCTAAACCAATTCAACAAATGGCGGCTTTTGACATTTATTCTTCTTCTTCTTCAGCTAGCTAATTTCTGCTAGTAAAAATTTCACTAGCAANATAGGGAGGCCATCATGGGGAGGCCCATAAACGACAGGGTTCACACAGATAAACTTTTGTTGCTCATTTTCGGCAGATTCTGTTTTGGTGTTGCTCTTCGCGTTCACACAGAGCAATGCTTTTGTACACAATTGTTGTTGTCAGCTGTGAACGGTCAACTAGAATTACTCAGTCGAACGAGAGCACAAAGCGTGTTCCACAAGCACGATCAACTTGGTGCCCTTCTTCGTCACTCCCTCTCCCACAAGTAACTAGTTGCCGCAACAAAAGTTTCTCTGTCTGAACCTAGATAACCTGTAGTTACTGAATCGTGCGTCTGACACATGAACCAAAAAGACAAGATCACGAGGGCAGGAGAGTAGCCCGTTAGAATCGCATTTAGGAAAAAAGTTTAACGATTTTGACATTTGTTTACATTTCTTAGTTGTTTACATTTTGGTGGTGGCTTTTTACTGCAATTTTCTTCATTTTCGCCTGTGACAACGTGTGTACACATAAGGTAAAGAATAATTTAACACAACGACATGATTTATAGAAGAATTTTCATAATGAAAATGATTATTCATGCGTTCAACAATTTCGCGGTTTTCACCGTTCTCTTCGTTGTTTACTTCTTACAACAAAGATGGCGTCGAGATATCGGCAGCTAGAAAATAACTTTTTTCTTTCTTTCCTTCCCGCGTGATCTTCTGTCTTTCGTTCATGCGTCTGATAGGCTGTTTTTGCTTACGCGTAAAAGCACATTTAGCGCATTTAGCTCTAAATGCTACTCTAAATGTACATTTATCCATACAAAATTCGTCACCTAAATGCAACTAAATGCAACTACATTTTTGCATTAAGAATCTAAATGCTAAAAGCAACCCTGTGATCTTCCAAAATTTCCACGATTCGAACATGGTTTAAAGAGAAAAAGTGGCAACATTGCTTTTTCGAGTATACAGTTGCTAGCTGCGTTTCAGTGATCGCCGATCGAGATTTCTTTTATTTTGCATTACATATTTGGATAAAGAAAAGTTAAGCAAATTCAACATCGATTTGATGCTGATAGAAATCTGGATCAATTTGTGATCAACTCTGTTTGGTTTGTTTCCTAATTAAGTGAGGAAATTTTAATTGACAGCACCGACAAATGAATATATACACAAACAAATGTTCGGTTATGGTTAAAACAATTCAAGTTTTTGTATTGAATTTTTGGTTTAAAATTTATTTTTTCCTTTTCAGTAGGGTTTTTGCACATTATCTTCTGCGTGAGAATTGATCGTAATATATACGCATCTAAATAAGAGACTGGAACACGGCTGTTTGTCAAAAGCATACGATTTCGAACTCGCGTAAATGTACATTTGCTAAATGCTATAGCATGAACGCTCTTCGAAAACATATGTTCGAAAGTGCTAAATGTTGCATTTTAAATGCAGCAAAAACGCTGCATGACACCACTATGATCATGATGCAATAAAACAAGGTGGTATCAGTTGGCAACTTCTTGCTCTAATTCCGCCATATTGACTGCCTTAGCTGAAAGAGTGTTACTTCTTTAACATTTCTTTGCCTAATAATATAGTTGATTTTTTTTTTATTTTTTCTCAGTATACACATTTTGTTTTCTCAAAAAGGTATTATATCTTATTTTATTTCATTTCATTGCGAATATACTATAAAAAAGCTAATTTTGTTTAGAAGAAAATATGAAATTTGATATTTTTCCCCCAAATGGGGATTAATTTCTTCCCGTTTTTCTTCTTTTTCTACTGAGCTAAGGCAATGTCAAATCGAGCTGTCACAACTGATACCAATTTGTATTATTGCATCATGCACTATGATGCCATTTTGTAAACACGCCAGGGGTTAAAAGCAGTACTGCATGGCAGTGTTGCCACAATGATTTTTTTATTTGTTCCAAAAGGCGGAAGAAAATATTGTGGCGAATACTGCGGCAACACAAAGCGAACAGGAGAAATAGGCAGAATGTTCGAGGAATGACGTAGAATGTTCCACAAACAGAAACGTCAAGTTGGGTGAACACTGCGAACAGCGAGAGAAAGAGAATGAGCGATAAACTTCAGAATGGTCTAGAGTTGCCATAAGTGCCAGCGCAGGTATATAAGGGCGCCACCACAGCGAGGTGAGTTAGTTAAAGTCAGCAAGCTACAAGTAAAGTGAGCGGAGAATTGAGCTGCGAATAAGCAAGCTATAAGTTTAATTGTGCTAACAAGTAGTAAAGCGTTGTTATCGCTTTAACAAGTATTGTAAAGTGTTTTTACTGTATTAGCGAGTATTGTAAATTGTTTGTTGTACAATAAAGTTAATTGTACTACAATTTGGTCATCGTTAGCATTTATTTAACAATCCAGCGATACGAGCCCGAGTATATTTGGGAAATCCCTCAAGGTTTCGAGGACAATCGTAACAATATTACCAGATTCAATAAAAAACTACCAAACTTATTTCATGTGCACGGAGCCAATTCTGGTTCTATGAAATTGTGAAGTGAAACTGAAAAATTCAACGTAAGTGAAGATTTAATTTTTTCACTTTATCATTTTTTTATATCATTTAAAGCGATTCTCGATCATTAAAGGCCTTTTTTTAGACTAGCAAGAAATTATTTAGTAACTTATTGTAAGTTTAACCCAACGATATTCTTTATCACAAGATGGTAATTTTGGGAAAAACCCCCAACTTTTCTTTTTCACAGCCACAAAACGAATTAATTTATTTTCCATTTGAAAAAAGAATCGTAATTTTATGTGAAGTGATGAAAAATTTTTTCACTTCACGTTTTCACAGAACAGGAATTTGACCCCAGAACTACATATAAAAATCCCACACCCACCTTTTCCGGCATCAGCGCTTATCACGTTTCGCCGCAGAAAAGTTTGGTATGGATTTCAAACTTAAATATGGCCGAAGAAACGGATTTTTCAATTGCCCATCATTTCCAGAAACTGGCACTGTCTTATGGATATACACTTTCATCCATGTACAGCTCAGGCAACAAAACAACTGAAACTGACATTAATTAGCAGAAAAGTTAGAGTAAAACTCGACAACAAGCTTTTCAGGCGTTCCGCACTTTTCAGGCTTTTTTATTTTTTAATTTAATAAAAAAGCCTGAAAAGCGTGAATTGTATAGCTGAAAGCCTGAAAAGCACGAAACGCCTGAAAAGCTTGTTGTGGAGTTGTGCTCTAATTTTGGTCAAAATGTACCTAACCGGCAACACTGATGCGCAGCCGGTGGTGGACAAAAGCGTGATGCCGAAAATAAAAATAAACGTCGCCCTTGCTTCGTCAAATTTTCGTGTGGTTTCAGATAGAATTTCTGGCGGAAAAACAACTGAAATCAAGCTCTTAAATAGTGATTTGTGATACTTAGCAGGTTAGTTTTCGAAATCTATTAAAATTCAGTGGCAGGCAACTGTATTTCTGCGTTAAATTGATTTACCAAATTGCGTGAAAAAGCAATAAAAATTGGGAAAATTTGCAGTGTGTTGAAAAAGTAGGCGAAATTACGCATTTCGTTTTTGCCTAGTGGTGGGTTTGAGAGAACCAAACGATAATAAAAGCGAATCAAAAATTGTACAACAAATTAGCGGAAAACGCGTGGTGTTGTGAAAAAGCAGGAGATGAAAACAAATGATAGGGTTATTGTGTATTAATTTGTGCATTAACAAATTTTAATAAAATTCTATACAATGGAGAACAAATGCAATAAAACTCCTAATACCAACAACAAATACATGGATCACGTTTACTGTCATCCAACTGAAAGCAAAAACTACATACGCGCCAACAACAATGCAGGGGGTGGTGGTGGAGCTGCCTCAGCGGCGAATACAGACTACCTGGCGCTGCTCAAAGAAAATAAACAACTTCGCGCTATGTTGATACTGCATTTGGACTTGATACAGGCACAAAGTGATCAACTTCAAGTGAAGGATAAACAGCTTGCGACACAAAATGAAGAACTGGATGAAATACGCACAAAAAATCAACAGCTGGAGACACAAGTGCAAGAGTTGCAGAAACAATTACAGCGGCATATAAAAAGAACCGCGGTTTCGCCACCACCACTTGCAAAGATACAGCGTACAACTGAACCGTTATTAACCAGTCTAGTATCTCCTGCAACATCAGCAGCGGCAGTGACTACTTCTACCACACAGAATATAATTGGCGAATGCAATGGTAAGCTTATAAGTAAAATAATATTGCAACGTGTTAGTTTGCCTGAGGATAGTCCGAACTCGACAACCACTGGCACTTCCGAAACCACATCCGATGCGGATGACAGCACAGCTAGTAAGACACATGCCGAACAAGACGACCACGATGATGACGATGCTGGTGAAGATGAGGGGGAAGAAGAAGAAGACAATGATATGGAGGACGGTGGCGAAACTACAGGCAACACTACTGAGGACAGCAATGATGTGCTTGCGTTGCTTACTACGCTATCTGATCATCAAAGGATGTCACCAGTACTTGTATCGCGTGGCGCCAAAACTTTACGCCAACTTGCCGCCGTTCCAGTACAGACCACGGTTTCGGCACCGACAACTACAACGTCTGCATTGCCTAGTACGCCTGCTGTGGTGCCCACCGTTACCACTACTGCTCCAACGACAACACAAGTGTGTGTTACCCCACCAACGCCAAGTCGCGGCAAACAGATGCCGTTGATGTTGTGGCATGCGCCGGATTTGCAATCCGAAGAATCTGCAAGCTGTGAGTCACTTGGCGAACTTTCTGATCAGGTAAGCGCGTATGATCTAATTTTTTGAGTTGAGATATTAATTTAGTTCATCTCTATTTAGCGTTCAATGATTGCCTCGCCTGCTTCGCCAAAAATCGAACATAAATCGAAGAAACCAAAGAATATCACAACAACACACTCGCTTCGAAGCGGAACCAATTTGCAATCACAGCAACGACAAAATAAGCCACGTCGATGTGCTTACATATCCACAGGAGAAATGTACTGCACACGTGCATGGGAAGATGAAGAGGTAATTGCTGATGGTTACGAATTCATTAAGGAAGAGGCCGAAGCACTACAAGCTGATGCACCCATGCTAGAGATACCCAAATGGACTGAGCACGAACTTGCCGTATCTTACTGCATCGAAGGTACCGAAAATCTATCGGACGAAACGTTCCTTAAGCGTCATGAAAAGTTAGAATTGGCCGAGAAGAGACGTAAGAAATGGGACGTGCAGCAGATACGCGAACAGCGCCGCATTGAAAAACTGAAACGGCGTCATTGCAAAGATGAAATACAAGTACCGCCGGATCAACAGCCATTATTGAGTTTCTATCCTCAGCCGGATACCGTGCAGACAATATGCTTTACTAGTGATTTGCCAGTGCAAGCATTTGGTGAGCTAGTGCCAAAATTGAATGCACACAATGAATTTGACTTGCCATGGCTTGAAGCATTGGCTACTGCACGCACGCCAGGCTCGATTGTGACATTGGCGCAAAGTCAAGCCGGTGCCAATCCATCGTCAGCACAAGGACAGCAACAGCTGATGAATTCGACCTTTGTGTTTGTCAAAAAACGTAAGCGACAGCAAAGCAACACAGCTGGTGGTGCAGGAGTAACACAAACAGCACGTCAACGTGGCGGACGGCGTAGGGCAGCAGCAGTAGCGGACGCTACCGCAGTTACGGCAACGGTACCCGAGACTGCTGCAACAACGGCAGCCGCCACTGCAACGCCAGTTGTGTCAGAGACTGCAGAGGCAACACAGCCAGCGACGGCGGAGCCAACTGCAGCTACAACAGCAGTTGCTGATGATGTTAACATCATTGCGAGTAAGGTTACCAACGAAGAACCTCCAAAGTAGTTAAGCTTTAGCGCTGCAATTAGCAATATGTATGTTAATGTGCTGGGAAAGTTCCGAAGCTACTTAAGAAACTATAGTTGGTCTCATCAGTAAAGTTTAAAAATGAATTTGTAAATGATTTTCAAGTAAGTCAATGCGTTGGTGCGCATTGCTGTAGTAACAAAGTTAGTTAAGCCAATACAATTGAACACATGTATTTTGGCGGATGTTTCACAAATTGCTATATTAAGTTGGTAATTAAGTACATATTTCGCACAAACTTTGAATTTGAATTCAGTACGAGGAAACTCTGTCGTGTGCACTGATCATAATAACTGCTGTGGGGCCCAGAAACTAGAATGCATGGATGAAGTATATCAACACATCTAGTTTGAGATATGTATTTACCTATTTCTTTGTGTGTTGATAATTGTAAAAGCACTTATTTTCGGAAGATGTAACATTTCTCTGGTTTGTAGTAATTTATTTGGCAGAGTAGTGACGCATCAAACCTTAATAAAAGTGATGTTTAACGTAAATAACGTAAAGAGAAGTTTAATTATTGGATCATGCTTGTAACGGCGAAACAATTATAATAGAACGACAAATCTGTAAAAAGCCCAAAACTTTTCGACCTATTTATGTAAGTTTATACATAATTATTTGTTAATAAACAGAACAGGTGTATCAGAACCGGGCGGTTATTCATAAAATATCGCAGCGACTCAATATTATTTATGATTATATTTTGAAAGGAAAATCTAATATGGAAAGTGGATTTTGTAAAGCGTTTTATTTTCTGGAAAAGATATACATATGTATGTATTAAATTTAGTGATTACTTTAAAAGTAAAAATGTAGTGAAATTCAAGAAAGCGTATGTAATTCAAGTCTTATGAAAAGTTCTTAGAAAAAATTTAGCATTAAAGTTTTGAACGAAGAAAAAGAAATTACTGTAACCTTCAGTTTTTAGTGTAAAATGTAACATATTTTGGCATATATGTACATACATAAGTATGTATGTAGCTTTGGACTTTTTAGCAAGCCACTTGTATGATATTAGTATATTCCTAGTCTCATTTTAAAGCTAGAAATTTGTTAAACTAGTACATGTTGTTTTGTCAAGAAACCACAGACATGCAATGCAATAAAAATTTGATTATTTTTTTAAATATAATACATGCATATAGAAACAATTCGGAAAATGAATTTTCGACAATAAAAAAAATTTGAAGAAAATATTTAGGTAAAATATTTATTTACATACATACATATGTATTTTTCAAGCTTTCGCGGATAAAGCTTTGAAGAATCGGATTTCAGACGTTTAAAGGCAACATACGAAATAGTAGCTAAATATTAGTATCTTAATTAAAATGTCTATGTAAACTTAAATTATTCAATATATTAATTATACCTAAGTTACCTTGCAAATTTATTGTTCGCTACCGCCTTCGTTAAGAAGCCCGTAAATTTATGTGTATGCATGAAATATAATTATTTAACAATATATTTATTATTCATATAATTGTAATTCACATCAAACAATCGAATTAAGTTTAAAAGATTAATTTTTGTAGCTAAAATTTTAAAATGCTTGCGCTCAAATAATTATAAAAAAAATCTTTAAAACTTTAGCAAACAAACAGCAAAAGGAGATAAATTTGTACAATGTATGAAATCTAGATGGGCACGTTCCCAATTCAATTTTAGCGTTTTTTGTAAAATTATAAAATACATCGCTACGTATGTATTTAGAAATTATTTGTGCATTCTAATATCTAATGAAAACCAAAAACATTTATGTATTTTTTTTTTTTTTTGTAAATGGTATCTAACGATTTTGAAATGTACAAAATACCTTTATTTTTTTATTTTTGTTGCAAATGTACATATCTTTGTTTAATTTAATCAGAAGGATGTAACATATAATTTAAAAATAAATGTGTGAGAAAAATAAAAACAAGAAGTGTTAGCGCACAAAAACAAATATACCATGCTTTATCAAAATTAAATGCGGTAATCGGTAAGTAAAGTTTTTATTTTTTCTAGACTTTCGAAGGAACAAATTCAAATTAAAAAGATCGGCACCTGGGTGGAACCTTTCTAGCAGCCAAACATGCTAAAGCGAGTAATGAAGAGGCAATTCAGTTGCTGGCAGTGGTGTTTAGGCGACTAACAATTGCTGGTGCCTAAATGTATGCTACACTCTCAACCAAAAACCCAAAAACTCTTCCGGAACTTTATTATCAACGGCAAATGCTGCATGCAGAGGTGGGTAAGTGATGGTGGGCATTTTTTATGCTTCTTACTCTTCATTATTTAAATCTTAGGAAACTACGCTAAATCTTATCTTCATTCAAGTGTATCCAAATTCGTAAAACTTGAAAACTGCATATTCGATCTTAAAGTTATAAATAAGTTTTTATTTTTTGTTTAATAAGGATTGACACGCTTTTAAATACATAATAAAACAATTAACAATTAACATACACAATACTTGAATTACAAATTGACTTCAAAATTGACTTTTTCCAACAAGAAATTGACTTTCAAAATACTTTTTATAATTGCTCATTTAGAATTTGGTGCGTATCTTCTGCAACATCTAATACTCATCAGCTATTGCCAAATTTATTTAACACTTTGGGTCAGATATTTATCGGCTGTTGTCTGCCACATTTCTTCGACCTCGTTAAATTTATTACGCCACAAATCCACAATCATCTTCCAACCTTCTTCTTGCGTTACCAATACATATTCGTTAGATTGATCCAGCGAATGTGTATATGCGCCCATAACAAGACTCTGCGCCAAACGTGCTGCTACGCAATACTTCAACAGCGAACGCTCCTCCGTGCTAATCGGTCGTATATCGGTATAACCGGCAATAAAGTAGCCACCACTTTCTAGCGACTTGGCTTGAAGTATCATATAAGTTAGCGCAATACCTATTTCGAAGATTATTGGCGACTTGTTGGTATCACCGAAATCAATGATGCCTTTCACTTTATATTCGCCATCGGCGGACTTTTTCGATTGCTCAACTATGATATTTTGTTCATTGTAATCACCGTGTATTATTTGCTTTTCAAGCTTATCCAATTGTGTCAGCACATTCTTTTCGAATGCATCAATGATCTCCTCGACAATAGCTTTGCGCGAGATGTCCTGTAAGACGTAAAGGAACTCACGCAACCGTGGCACCGACTCCAACATCCAGAGAGTTTTGTGTGTATCGTAGACTTCATGTTGGAAATTCTAGAATGTATTAGGAAATTTATAGGAGTTTGGGAAAAGTTCACAATACACTAGCATACATACCTTCAACGTTCTGTCGACTTTGGCTATGAATTCGCCACTCTTGTAAAGCAGATAATTGGATTTTTCCACTTCGTGAAACATTTGGCCTGGCACAAACTCCAGCAAACGAACAACGTGATCAGCGCCATTTATGTTCTCCACAGAAAAGTATTTTCCATTAACATTTTCTATTGGTCTGGGGCAAATTATGCCTTCTTTGGCTGGAAGTAATAAATTAAAGTAAATTTGTAGTTTCTTTTTTTTTTTAATAAATATGTTGTGTACCTAAATAAAGCATTAGCTCATTTTGAGCATCGACGAAGTTTGGCTTTTTCGAGTCAAGCGCATTTAGAATTTTCAAAATATATCCATGCGGCCATTGGGTGGTGATAATTGGATTTTTTATATTCCTGAAAAGTAGTGTACAGCAGATTATCAATAAAACTGTGGTAAACATTAGAGTGTTAAGAACAATCTTAAAAAAAAAATAATTAAAATATACATAGCCATAACCTAAAATTAGTTCAGAATATACAAATTGATAAACGAATAGGGCTGTTTCAGCTACATTTTCGTTCGAATTGTAGGAACGCGCTTTTAGGTTACAACAACAACTACAGAAAGGATTTGATACTAAAATCAACAGTAATATTCGGAAGTAGTACCTATGTACATGATCAAGGTCACTTCCGGAAAATTGTTTGGAGGTATTTTATAATATTTTTAACTACTCAATCGGCTCTTGCCGATTGCACCACTCATGGAAAGTAGAGAAAGTGGAATTTGTATTAAGAAAAACGAGCGGAATGCAAATGTTTTTTGTTTTGATTTTGTTTAGAATTTTAACTGGTTTGTATGTATGTATGTACATATATTCAAGATAAGAGAAATAAATAGTATTATCTTTCAAAGAGTCGAATTCTTTTTACACATGTATGTATATATGTACTTACAAAAGATAAGTGTGTATCCATATGCATATGCCTAAATAACAGAAAGTGATATTTATCTGTATTATTGTACTTATCTTGCTAAAGCATTAGATTAATTTAATTTATGAAACAAGATAGATATGCCATACCTACATGTTAATATTCTGTATATATATACATTTTTAATATGTAACCTTCTTGCACTTGCACTTACATACAGCTAGGGGTTCAGCATTAAATTGCAGCATTACTGCATCAGCACAGACCGACATTTGACCGGTCATTTGCCCGTAAGATTTCTTGTACGGTAGCCATTCTGGATATTATTCACCCTTAAATTGATAAACTAAAATATAACATCCGTTAAAAATTTAGTTTCCTTCCTGTGCTAGTACTTTTACAACACTAATATTTTTTAGACTGGCAATGCTAGAAAAAGCTTTGGCTGTGCAATCACCTGACTGTAATGACAGTTCGTTTTTAGCGCCAATTGCCATTTGTTTACTTCACACGGGCTTGTTTTGTTAGCTAGTTAGCTCCAGCAGCCGGTTTCCAACATTCGCTTTCGCAAATTTTGACTCAGTTATCTACTTTTCACATTCGTAAGTCGAATGTGTGTAAAGAAAAGTAAAATTTCAAAACTGTCAGTTTTTTAAGTAAAATCATCATGGGTATCACCGGCCTGATACCGTTTTTGGAGAAGGCATCTTCAAAAGTACATCTTAAGGATATACGCGGCAGCACTGTTGCCGTAGATACCTATTGTTGGCTGCATAAAGGTGCTTTCGGCTGTGCCGAAAAGTTGGCGCGTGGCGAGGACACCGACCAGTACATGCAATACTGCATGCGTTATGTGGAGTTGCTGCTGAGCTACGATATCAAACCGATTTTAGTATTCGATGGCCGTCACTTGCCAGCAAAGGAGCTCACTGAACGTCGCCGTCGCGAAAGTCGCAAACAATCGCGCAAATTGGCTGCAGAGCTGTTGCGTGCAGGAGACAAGGAGGGCGCTCGCACGCATATGCGACGATGTGTGGATGTCACACATGAAATGGCATTACGTGTGATACGCGAGTGTCGACTACGAAATGTCGATTGCATTGTGGCGCCTTATGAAGCGGATGCACAGATGGCTTGGCTGAATAAGATCGATGTGGCACAGTATGTTATAACCGAAGATTCTGACTTGACATTATTCGGTGCGAGCCGAATAATATTCAAGCTGGACTTGACTGGCGCCGGTTTGTTGGTAGAAGCGGATAAGTTATATTTGGCTATGGGTTGCACCAAGGAGCGCTATAATTTTGACAAGTTTCGACGCATGTGCATATTGTCTGGATGTGATTATTTAGACTCACTCCCTGGCATTGGCTTGGCAAAAGCATGTAAGTTCATGCTCAAAACTGAACAAGACGATATGTGGAAAGCATTGAAGAAACTACCAACTTATTTGAATATGAAAAATTTGCAGGTATGCTCAAGGAAAAAAAGTTGTATGTACCATATAATAATTTCTCATTTTACAGGTCGATGATGAATACATTGAGCAGTTCCTTAAAGCGGAAGCAACGTTTAAGCACATGTATATTTATAATCCCTTTGCACGACGCATGGAACGTTTGCATGATTTAAGTGAATTTGAAACAGATGAACGCTTCTGTTCCAATGCCGGCACACCGCTCGAGGACGATGAGCAGGCGTTGCAACTAGCACTTGGAAACTTAAATCCATTCACATTGAAACAATTAGACAACTGGCATCCGGATAGAAATTTCGGACAAGCACAGGCAAATAATAATAAAATCAAACGTGCTAAACATAAAAGTATTTGGCAGGGAAATTATCAGCCACGAACAAGCGCACCCGCGTCCACGGATGCTTTTAAGGACGTCAAATGTGCTTTGCATTTTAGAAAAGTAGATTTTATTAGTAAAACTATTGATGAAGAGATAACAGAAAATGCGCGTGTGGAACACGCCAAACCAGAAGAAGCCGAAATCTTTTCAATGTATCAGCATGAAGCCGGTGAGCTAATCGCGCCTAGTGCGAAACGACGCCGCTATAGTAGTGAAAGTAATGACAATGGTTCGGATAGTTGCATTGAACCAGAGACGATACAAAATCCGCTTCCCGAAGTAGCGCACAACACACACAATCCTTTTGCAAGGCCACAATTTACAACAGAAGCGAGTAAGTCAGTGTCAATCTGTGAGAATCCTTCTTTATTAAGGGTGCTAAGTCCAAAGAAAGCACTTGATCAGACAAGCAGAGGTAATGGTATTAATTTAAAAAGTCCAAAAAGTTCGCTAGATCGGCTGGCAGAAAGGGTTACAGTAAAGAGTAGATTTTTTGCTAACAATATAAATGAAGTGCATCGAAGTAAGAAAAGCGTCAGTAGAGATTTAACTGCTGAAATCAATTCAATAGAAAAGCAATCACAGCAACAAGAAAAAGCGCGTGCAATACTTTATGACTCGCCATCGCCTAAGAAAAAGTGCAAATTGACTTTGGAGACTAACCACGCTGCTTTTAACGAAGGTACTATAAAAACCAATATTAATAAGGAGGAGGAGGAATGTGATAGCATTGAATTGATAGAAGAATCAAAGAACGTGGCAAAAGCTAGTGTTTCGAGCCTAGATATCAGCCACATTGAAGATAGCGAGAGTAAAGGTAGCTTGGAGAGTGCAATAACACTATCCGATGATGATGATGATGTTGGTGGCGGCTTTGAAAGAACTATAATGCAAACAAAAACGTCAAGATCATCAATCAACCTTTTTAAATCACAAGAAAAACAACGCTTAGGTCTATCACGAACAAAAGCCAAATCAACATTAAAATCACAAAAGGCAAGTGGAAAATCTAACCCAAAGTCTATCAGTACAACTGCTTCGCTGCAAAATCAAACACGCTTAACTATGTTTGGCTTCAAGAAGCGACCTACTTTAAAATAGCATTTATGTATACATATGTATAAGTGTTGTTTATTAGTGTATGTATGTTTATGTTATTTTGTCAATTTATTATTATAATTTTGTTTTGTTATCAAGTTTTCACCTGATATCGCCAGCCATAATGTAAACTAAGCTAATTTAAAACACGTATTATTACTATAGAATAGAAAATTATTTGAGTGGTTGATTATCAATCATAATTTTATTAAACAAATTGGTAAATAAAAGTTAAAATGCGAAATGCGACTAACTTGAATACATTATGCCAGTAGTAGGAAAGTTACCCAGTAGATAATCTAAGGAGCCAAAAGCCCTTCCAAAAGGGGTTATAGGCAGTGAATGAAAGGTCTTATTGATTTTGTTGTTGTTATTGTCGTCAAGTTCAACTAACTAAAGCCCTTAGAAGCGTGCAGCCTCAATAGGGTCGGTCCACAGGGACAAAGGCGTTAGCGTTGTCGGGTTTTCCGGGCATACGAAGAGATGTTTCGAGTCGTGGGGTGTCTCTTCGCATGCTGGGCACTCATTTGGCACATCTGCGTCTAATCTGCTCAGATATGAGTTTAACCTGCTGCAGTAGCCAGAGCGAAGTTGAGCTATTGTGGTTCTAGTCTCCCGAGGCAGATGAAGCTCGTCGATGTCCGGTGGCTGTGCGCCTAGAACGGCATTCACCGGTCTGGAGTCTACATAACCCGAGACTGACTCCCTGTGAATGCCGCTCAGGGTCTGTCGACAGCCGGCTCAGCGTACTGGAATGACTCGGGTTTTACCCGACCAAGGGCTGTTGTTTCGGCGATCTAACCCCGTTTAGGTCGGCGAAGTATCTCAGAAGTTGTTCGTCCATAGGGCTATATTTGCTAAGTATTCTTCTGCTCAGGGCTGGCATCTGACGTTTATTTTTTTCAATAAAAAATAACAGTTAATATTTGACTATTATTTTTTCGATCACAAACAACAGTTAACTACCGATCTTCATGTTAGGGGTCTTCACACCAAGCTTGTATGCTGTAGCTCGGTGTTCGGTAATTTCGCCGAAGGTATTTTGGTTGTGTAAAGTAATTTTGCGCAAACAATCATGTAAATGCGGAAAAATTATTGAACACTGCTTATCGTTGCTTAAAAGACCAATACATGTCTTGTTTATATGTAGCAATCAAACGTTTCTAACTTAAACGTTTACAAGTAGAAATAGCGATTTTGTGCAACCCTCCTTTTTTGGCTTGCTCGAGGTTATGTGAGAGTAAAATAGGACAAACAATTTTTCAATAAAATTAATTTCTTCTTCTTTTTTGTTTTTGTTGTCGCTGAGTCCGAATATGGGGTCCCTTGATTCTTCAAGATCATCTAGAGGTCATGCCAAGGTAAAATTGAGAAGAATTGTATTGCATTTTCAGGTTTATTCAATGAATTCTTACCTATTTGACCCTCAAATGACCTCGAACCTGACGTGCTGGAGGCTAATAGACCTGAGATTCGCATTCAGGGCGTCGAATAACATAGGGATACAGAGGTTTGGTTGAATATGCATTGACTTTTTTTTTGCAAACCAGTGCTGTTATTAAGTTTTTTTGTTTTGGAGTTTTTTGTTATTGTTTTTTATACTGATCCCCTCAACAGGGAATGACAAGATTCTGAGAGTTGTTAGCAAACGGCGAACAGTTTTAGCTGCGTGAGAACATTCCCATGAAATTCGGGTTTTCGGTTGGGAAAAGCTTTTATTTTGATTATTTATTTATACTTTAATCTAAAAACTTAGACATTAGTCCAAATTTTGCCATACAAAATTATGAAGATCTGTACACTTTTTAATGGCGCACACAGTAGATACATAAATCAATGAAATTCATTTATGCTATGTATGTCAAACATGTACCAAGTTCACACGCTCGGATGCATGACTATACGAATGTATGTAAGATAATTAACTATATACATATCGTCACCTGAAATGCAAAAAGACGTAATAAACATCGTCGCTGAAATTCAAAAAGTCGTAACTAATAAAAAATTCAAAATTCAGTTTTTGATTGATATGATGGATTTCATCGAATTACAACTCCCACATCATTTAATGAAAAAAAAAAAAAAACATTTTAGTCACGACTTTTTCCATTTCGGTTACGACGAAGTGGCGATATGTACAAATGCACATGATATACATATGAGGAAAACTACCTGAAAATTCTATAGCTTTTTCTCTCTCTCTGTAATTATTTGTACTTCTGTATTTTCAGAAAATACTCGTACTCATTTGACAAATAAAAACTCACATGCATAAACACTCCTCGTCATTTGAATACTTAGTATTTACATTTTTCCTTTTGTTTATTTAATATTCATGAATTTCTCAGTTTCACCAATTATAAAAAAAAAAAAAACGTCAGAAAAGGGGTGCGCTATCCTAATGACCAATAGCGAAAGAGGTAACAATATCACTGGTTTATGGCAAAAATGTTCAATGGATGCCACTATCCAATTCCTATAAAGAATTGCTCGCTGATTCCGAAAATCGACTTCATTTTTTATTCTATGGATAAGTTTTCAAGATATTTTCAATTTACCGTTAGTCCGCTTCAAACAAAAAGTGGTTACACTTAATCACGTATATATATCTTACGGCCCATTGTAACAATCGTAATATGAAATACGACAAATGAAAGCTAAAAAAATTCTACATAGCCTGATATTTCTGACAAATTAATTAATCATTCCATATGTTTTTATTTTTGTTTTGATGAAAATATGAAAAAAATCATTTTAACAGAAGAAAAATTTAGAAAATAGCATGTTCAGTGTCAAATTTTTGCCTTTGTGCTAAAGCCTGTTCTGTTATGAAAAAAATTAAGTTACTAATGAATGAACGGATAAATAAACAAGTAATGATTGGTCAAATGAAAATTAATGAAATATCCGCATAAAAGCGTGCGACTTAAGTGTTCATGGCGTATGAGTAACATTATTTCCCCTCGTATCTCATTTTAAGATTGTCAAATTGGTTCGTAAGATATACGTGATTAAGTGGAACCATTTTTTGTTTTAGGCTGAATAACGGTAAACTGCCAATATCTCGAAAACGTATCCATAAAAAAAAATTAACTAAATTTTCGGAATCACCGAGCAATTCTACATAGAAATTGGATAGTGGCGTCTGGAGAACAAAACCCAAATAAAAATTTGTGATCCAGTGTATTTTTAGAAAAATTTCGGCTATGCAGTTTTATAGCCCATGGAATTCTAGTTGAGTAAAGTGCAGGTTTCAAGTGGCTACAAAATACCGTCGTTTTTTTTTATTTTTTTTCTTTTGTGTTGACAATAGGTTCGTTCGCGTAGCTGTTAATTGTTCATGTTTAACCAAAACTTACAAGTTTTTGCGTTCGCGTACGCAAAAAACTTGCAAAGTAGGGGAAATTGAGAGAGCAAAGTGACATTTCATTTTGAGGGGAAGCTGCTGGTTTCTGCTGGAAAAATTTTTGCCAACAGCAATTTGCCAACAGGAAAACAGCTGATCAAAAACAGCTGGTGGGCATTTACGCAAATCACAAAATTGAATTTGATGGTTTGGAAGTTAAAAATTACAAAATGCGACTAATTAAACTTGTAAGAAGTAAGTAGTTATTTGTTTAATCAATAAACTGTGCCAGGATACCACGTTGTAATGAGTTTTCGTACGTTTTAAATTTTACACTTTTGAATGTAAACAAAAATTATATCAGCTGTTCGTCTAACTTGCAAGTTTCTGCAAATTTTCTGTTCGCGTACTATTTTGGATATTTCTCTCTTGTGAGAGAACAGATGTCATTTCGCCGGAATTTGGCAGTTAGTTGGTTTCTGTTGGAGATTTTAAACGAACGCACCTTATTACATGCATTTCCGTCAATCAACGGTATTTTGTAGCCACTTGAAACTTGCACTTTATTATACTAGCGACCACTTTCACAATGTCTGGTTAACACTAACTGCAGGTTAAACATCGTTATCGACTCGGTCGACTCCATAACATATAACAGGGAGTCGATAACCATGTTCAACCTGTAGTAAGTGTTAACCAGACATTGAGAAAGTGGCCTTAAAATATTCAATGGGCTAAAAAACTTAATATCCGAAATTATTCTAAAAATATTGTTAACTTATTTACTGTGGGCCATTAGGATAGCGCACCTCTTTGTTGAATTTTTTTTTATTTGTATAATTTTTATTTATACTGTTGCCGCCGAAACACCCATCGCCCGATAACATATCACCCATCG